AGAGAGAGAGAGAGAGAGAGAGAGAGAGAGAGAGAGAGAGAGAGAGAGAGAGAGAGAGAGCCACTTCTGTTTTTGAATGGATGCATTTGTGGCAAGGTCAGATACACTCACAATGAAATTGAATGAATGCTTTTTTTTTTTTGTTTTTTTTGAATGCTACTCTGAGGTGGAATGTATATATCTGACAGATAATGTCAAATGCGCTCGCTCACTCATGATGAGGGCTACTTCTGAGCTTCAATGTACACATTCGAAGGAAAAGATGTAGGCTACTTCCGAGCTTAAATGTATAAATCTGATGGGTAAGGTCAGGTACACTCATGGTGTGGATTACAGCTTCTTAAGGAATTTTTATTCCTCCCAAAGCCTTATGTTTTTGAATTTATAATCTCACTTCGAGGTCTGATAGACCCTGGAAATTGCTAGCGTGCAAATGCACCTTCTTTTTGTTTTTGTTTTTTGTTTTTACATGTCAGTACCGTCAGCGTCTTTGCTCTTGTTTCCACATGCATGGCACAAATCAACAGGACGTCTAGCAGTCGATTTTCCCCATCAGCTTCGTCTGTGCATTTGTTGTCCATTTACCCCTTTCCTTGGGCCCACCGGCTTCCTCCCCCGTCGCTCTCCCGGGCTTTCCCAACCCCTGAAAACCCTGAAAGAGTTGGCCGTATATAAACTGCATGTTTGTTTTTGAAGGGGGGAAAGCTGGATGTGTTTTATGCAGAGATGTAGAAAAGCAGATCAATTGCCTATATGTGGACCTGTACATGAACACGTCCAGATTCAGGTGTTAAATCCAACTCTTCCCTACTGGGATGTTGCCCATGGGAGCCATTTCGTACATGTTCGTTGCGCAGAAACACGAGGCTATGTTGAGCTTGGTGTTCCTCAGAACTCTGAGAGAGAGAGAGAGAGAGAGAGAGAGAGAGAGAGAGAGAGAGAGAGAGAGAGAGAGAGAGAGAGAGAGAGAGAGAGAGGCACCAGCCTCCAGGGCTAAGCAGGACCTCCCCCACTCAGTCCTGATTGAAGCGTAGTCAGACAATCCGTGTTGGAACTCAGTCCTGAATGAAGCGATGAAGAAAAGCGAAGGATACATGGCCTGTAGTCATTGAGGGGTACCTTGAAGAAACTTCCCTGCTGATAATCCAAATTCATTCAATTCAATAGGATTCCTAGTTTCCAATGCTATAATTGTCACTTATTTTTTTGATCAGAAACTACGGATGTCCCAGCATACTATTGCAAAATTCTCTACTTTATTTTCCCATTACTGGATGATTGCCCCAATTTGAGATGCAAAGCTAAACAAATTGCTTCAGCTCCTAGAACCGAAGAGTGTGTTGGTTGTAAACAATGGGAATCTTTGTGTCCATTTAGACGTAGCAGTTCTTTCTACAAGTCCCATACTAGGTGGGCCCATTCCTGTCCCCCAAGCTTCACCGGCGTCTCCAGTGTATGAATTGAGATGTACGCCCTAGGCATCACAGGCAGTGTGGGCCCCCCTAGCCATAGCCAAGGTCTAACCCATGACATCATCTGAGTAACCCGGGTTTACCCACC